ATATACACGAAAGTTGGCAACACTAAAATAATTATTATTGTTGTATTATTTACTTTAGAATTTAATTTGTTTCGAAATAATTCAAATTTCAAATAAGATACTTATAAGTGCTTCTCCCTGGCGGTGGACAGGCAAACTAATAATAGTAATGGCGACCTACAGTGAAAACAGGTAGGAGACGAAAGAGACAGTGTTTTTTTTGTTACGTAAAGTGCGCTAGTAATATGAGATTGCGATCTTCGAAAGGAAAGATATAATCCACGAAAGAAGTTGGTATTTTTGTTATAAAATGAAGATTAAAATACAAAGCGTGTACACCTGTCAGGTATGATTCAACAGGTATGTCAACTTCAATACAATACATGCATATACTGTATACATAATGTATATTTTGGTATTTCGTATGACAACATACGTACTGTTCCAATGCAAATGAATTGAATCCTTATTTTTTCAGGTGTATTTCCGGAAGTATGACCTTGAATATTAGTTATTTTTATAAAAATTTAAAGAAAAAAATATATTATTTTATCTATGAACTAGAAAGTTATTGACTCAGTACAAAATGTATCTTATTTTTGGTACATAATAAACAAAAAATATTGTATTTTAGTACTACTGTTTTGTATATAGACATAAATAATATACAGTACTTCTCTTATCTGTATATAATACATGATAACTATACAATATATGAAACATTTAACACAGGCATGAACACATTTAACACAGGTAAAAGTATAACAAATTTTATATATTTCATTTATATATCTGATATATAATTTCTTTTTTAAAAAGAAATCTAAATACTAGTACATAAATTTCGATCTTTTGTTGCTATATATTAGTTTTCAGAATAATACAAATATGTAAAATACAATAATAAACTATAAAGTAAAATGATGAAAAAATTGATATTAAATATTATGTATAAAGCCCTCTTTGTGTATTTTATTACTGTAAAGAATTTCTACATTGATGAATACCTGTGTAATACTCAAAATTTATAATATATAATGTATTGATCTTGGTTTACAGTTACATTCATAGTTATATAATGCTTCTTATCATCATCAATATATTATTGTTATGGCTTTCCCTGTCTCATACTATTTTTAAAGTCTTTAAATATTCAGACTATTTTTATGAATTAGGAATTAAATAGATTAATAATATATCATACATATCTGATATTTAATTTATTGAAATAATAGTAGTAGTAATGATCAGGATGATAATATTTAAATTTAAAATGCAAGAGATTTAGATATATTGCAGATAAGTTATGGATAAAAAAATTAATAAATAGTTAATATAAAAGCTGTATTTATTAATTAAAATGCATTAAAGAATAATAAAATCTTTTAGAAAAAAAATCTTCAATCAAAAAATATGACAGATAAAGTTCAGATGATCCAGATGATTGCCAGCAGTTAATTATTTCTATATGCATAATTCATATACATATATTATTATAATATATATTTTTAATTCATTCGTCGTATAATGAACTGCATGACTAATGATGGAAAAATATTGTAGTAGTTATTCGACAGTTTTAACCGTTTTCTGTTGAAAATAGAATAGTGGTCATATAATATATCTCTTATTAATACAAGGTTTCATATTTTTAATGTATTAAACACCGAGGAAAATTTCATTCAGTTATATAGGACATTGACGTCTGTGTTCATCCTAGAAAGTCATTCAACCATCCTATACGCGGTGACAGCTCTCCAGTTGCGGTTCCGTACAACTTCTTTCGTTCCGATCTACTGTATGTATGTTAACATGAATTATATATTCAATCAACGGCTTATTAATGATTCATTAAGTTCATTCAACAGCAAGAAAAACTATGCTCTTCTCGACGAAATTAAGAAGCACTCGAAAGAAAAATAATAATAATAAATATTTATTAAGTATTAATAAACAACCGTATAGAATTTTTGCATAACAAAATAATTAATCCATATCTAATAAGTGAAATCAGTGGAATGTATCCCGAAATCGTCGAACCTTATATTTATAATATAACTACCGTTATGTAATATATTATTTTAGCCATACAGGTAATGAAGATGATATAGACTTATAGAAAAATTTGTGTCCACGTATATAAATCCGATTTATTTAAGTTTAATATAAGTACATTTTTTTACTTTGTACAATAAAATGAATTTAAAAAAAACGAGTGATAGATTTTTAGATCTGGAGACAATAGATATAGCTTGAGCATGATATAGTCTGGTGATAAAAAAAAAGAAGGTACTGTCTCACGAACCCATTAAGCACTTGAATTATTGCCATGTGTATAGTAGTCTGTGTCAAAGTTATAAATAGTTTTCAATGAAATATATTTATCTTTGTTCCGCTGATAATGTTCTCTACCTGAAAAGAAAAGAAAAAAATTTCAAGGGTTTGACTGTCGTGTCATATAATGAAAACAGTCACGTATTTGTAGTATTATATCGGAATATGCGGTGAAATTATAAAAAAATTAATATTTTATATAAATAGCTTAGTACAAATTACGTTGTTACATTTTTAATGATTTTACAAAACAAATCCTAATAATGAACTGAATCTAGCCATGAACCTTATTGACCGTTTTTATGTTAACTTTAATCAACCCGGATTTTGATTGATGATGTTTAGACATTAATCATTGCTTTTTTCTTTGAACAGTTTTTATAACCTGTATTTTTTTTAGCTTTAATACTAGTCATTTTTCTAATATAGTTTTGTGTAACTGATTATAATCATTAAAAAAGCATTTCTTTTATTAATTTTTATTGTTTTAAATTTACTGATTAACATCTTTTTATTTAATTTATAATAGTTTGTAAATGGGGTTCAAATTAGTAAGAAGTAATTCGTTTGCGAAAATTAAATTTAATTCTTGTAAAATTTTCTTGGAAAAAAACTACTTATTACATAAATTAGTAATGAACTTACATAACGTGTTCTGCTATTTATATTTACTAAAAATAAAAACAAATAGATACAATTATGATGACACTTAACCACGTTAATATGTACTAAATTTAGATATGATTTATTTCAGGTTTATTAATGTTTATTAAGTGGCCGGGATAGAGGTAAGAATAGGCCTAAATAGTCTGTATTTCTATAGAAAACAAATCGAATTTTAATTTAAATAAGAGCTCGTTTATACAAAAAAAAAAATTTTATTCTTATTTCGCAGATGTTCGAAGATGTGACAAATAAAAAATTACATTTTTCTGAAAATTTATGGAAAATGTGAAAGATCCATTCTGTCAACATCAAGAATGGAAGTAGAATTGGAAAGGCGCCCCAAAAAAGAATTCTATAAAAGAGAAGTAGTTTCTAATAAAGAAAAACTACAAAATAAAATGACTGTTCTACAAAAAGAAAAAGAGGTTTGATTTCTTATATTTCTTATTAAACACGAGTGAATACTATAATTAGTAATAACACGTTAACGCGAAGGTTATTAAAAAAAAGTTTTCTATTGTTTAAGAAATCACTTCCTTGTTAAGAATTATTATGGATTGTAACTTGTTTGATACCAAATACTGACCTTCAAATAATTGTAGGAAGATTAATATGTTTAATTACATTAGAATTAATATTAAACTAATAGTCATGTATTAAATATTTTATGTTAATTTACATTCTAATTCACTACGAGTTTAAATTATTTAATTAATGTATATGTAATTTACTTGTAATATGTTACTGAAATTGTTTTAATGATAGCGATTTTATAAGCGGTTGTTCGTTAATTATACAATATGTAATGTTTACGTTAAATGCTATCGTTATTATTTAGTTAAGTGCGACACAAGAAAATTGTTTTTCTTTTTTAATATTAAATAAAATATCTGATTTTTAGAAGCATTTAATTTACCGTTACTTCAAATATGAAAAAAATAGAGAAGAAAGAAAGAATACTCTTTTATATTATTTATTAAAAAACAAAGCTTTTAAATGATTTTAGTTTAAAACTTTTCCTTTACTTTATTTTATATTATAAACAGTAAATGTTCTTTGAAAAAATAGGAATGACAAACGTTAAATTTATTTGTAGAGTTAGTGAAAAATTAAAGAAGCGATGACATGTTATAGAGTTTGAAAACGATAGATCTAGAACCTTATAAATGCTATAATGATTTTATTTTATTTTTTGCGAATTCAAATATACTATATTTTATTATTTCTATTATTATAATCAAAGTTTAATATTTAATCATGTGAATAAATATTTTTGAAATAAAATTATTATATGATTGTATTGTATAGCCTGCGTTTATTACCAAAGGAAAAGGAAAAAATATATAGGCCTATAATGATAAGATTCCGGAGTTTTTAATTCATAAATCTCATATTGCAATATTATTCTTACTGTTTACTTAAAGATATTCAGGATTTCTCTGATTATCATGCAAAATCTGTATCGTAATCATGAGCAAAAATGTAATTAAATACTATTAATTTTTAATATTTTCTCAAATCATTAATAAGATCTTATAAATTATTTCGCCTAGTATAGCAATTACATTTATATTTCCCAATTTTTTTTTATCTAGAATTTCTGTACAATTTTTATCCCAATATTACTTTTCATTATCGATTGAAAGGTGCGATCTATCTTAATTTAAGTTTTCAACTGTTGCCTAAACTTTGCCGATTGTCTTACCTATTAGGCTGTTCTCAACTATACCACAAATAATATATTCGGTTGGGATATAATATTTGATACTCCATTAAATATAACGTTGTAATCAACTTATTAATAACAAAATAAAATAAGCCAACAACCATAAACTACTTTTAAAATAATTATTAAAAAATATAATTTATAAAGATGTAAATGAAATAAACTAAAATATGATTTTAAAATGTTCATATTATTTATTATAGATGAAATCAAAAAAATTATTTTTTTCTATGCAACGATTCTTCAATTCAGTAATACTGTATGGGAGTGTTAAATGTATGTGTGTATATAAAGGTGTGCATGTAAATTACGTGTATATTTCTAAATGTTTTAAATTTAAATATATATTAAAAAGTATGCGTTTATAAATACACACTTGAATCTTTCAAAAGTAATTTTTATTTGTCTGTATTGTCATAAAATCACGTATATATTCATAACTTAAAGGGAATTACATTTAGCAATTACAATGCAGATTTCTAAGTTTTAAATTTTCTTTTTTAAAAAAGTTATTAATAGGTCTACTGCTATTTCTCAATTAAAAGAAGCAAAATAAAATGAATCAGATAAATTTAAAGAAATTGTTTTTGTCATTGAAGAGAGATTATTTGTTCAAGTAGAAAATGATATGCCAATATATAGCTTGTATTCAATGTAAATGAATACATGCTATATATTGAGTAATGTGCATTATTTACTTATGTTATTGAGTAATGTACATTATTTACTTATGAAATTGAATGATTATTTGANAGTGAGAAGCGAAAAATTGCTACCTTAATTTAAGCAAATTAAACATGTAATCATATGCACTATTTTTTTTTGTATTAGTTGGAAAGTAACTGTTAAATTCTTTTTTTCTTTTATTTCATCCTTTATTTTTTTAAATGCATAAATATATATTGTTTTTTTAGACAGAACGGAACAATATATCACGATATTTCGGAGTTGCATATGATGATTAAGCAGTCTTCCAAGGAAATTTTGAAATAGTACATAAATATATATTGTTTTTGTTAACAGAACGGAACAATATATCACGATATTTCGGAGTTGCATATGATGATTAAGCAGTCTTCCAAGGAAAGATTGTTATTAGAAAGGCACTTAGCCAGGGCAACAGAAGTAAATATACCATTCTTTTATTTCTTTATACTCGGTTCATTCGTGCGATTCAAAGTAAAACGTAAGATTTAAAGGCGATTCAAGGTTATCACGTGATTGTTTCAGACATTATATTCTTGTACGAATTAAAACAAAATTCTGCACAATATTAGCGATAAAACCAAAAAAATTATTCATTGCGACAATTTATGAAATCGAATGAAATAATTTTAAACTTATTTAGTCAAAATATAATCAGCGCATACGATTCGTGTAACCTTCTCCGATTGGTCGATTTCGGTTTAGCGGGTGCTAATGCCGCTCCATCTAGTGAACGTTTAGAGAGACTTTTTCCTCTTGTGATCATTCTAAAGTAGATTTAGACGTGCAGACCATTATAGACCATATCAATGTAAGAGGTGAATCTTTGCACGATTTTCTCTTTCTTCCTTAAAATTAAATAGTAATATCATTTTAAATGTTTATAAAATACTATCGAAAAAAAGATATTTTAAACTAAAACCCCGCAAGTTCGGCTTCCTGGCGTGGCTCGGTGTTATGATGTGAAGCTAAGCCTAAGGGGCAATTATTTAAAATATTTAAAAGAAATTCCTAAATTATTTATATTAAGTATTTAATTTTTAACGTTTAATCATTATTAATATCTGAACTTGAAATATATGTCTATTAGTGATAAATTAACAAAATTACATGGCATTAATTTATCTAAATAAATTAATTACAGTAATTATTATATTAATGTTCATATATAGAATTAGTTGTTTTTATATAGAAAAACAATCTAACAATGTATATTATTTTATTTATTAAAAAAAATTAATATATATACAGTATATCTTCTTATAATTAATAAATTAAATAATAAATGTCCATTATAATTTTAAAACAATTTTCTTTATAGAAGAAGTTGTGTGTATGATGTATGTATAGGTGTATAGACATTATATATAATTCATAAAAGGTTCTAAAAACTTAAGTTTATAAAATTTTCTATTATCTTTAAAAATATTAAAGTTGAGAAAAATGTGTCAAGTATTAAATTTTTTTCTTTTCCATATATAATTGAATTTATGAATAGAATAAATATTATATAGAATGAATAATTTTATCAATTTTATTTATTATTATTATTTATAAATAATAGCACAATTTTAAAAAATAAGTTTTTGTATATGCAATTATTAAACAGTTAAAATGAATAATTTAATTTTATTAAAATGAGGAAACGTTTTAATGGAATTAGAGGAAGGATTCATAAATTTTGTTTACTAGACAGAATGTCCCTCCTAATGGCGACTGTCGTCCTTTTGGTCAGTTAAAAAAAAAAAAAAAGAAACAACAAAACAAAAACACATTTGAATATGTACTAATTTCATCATGTCTTTTGGAATCGATCAATTCAACGAAAAATATAATTATTCACTCATCGAAAATCGAACTATCTATTAGAGAATCGCAATTAAGAGGTGGAGAGACTTTTTATTTGTTTATTTTTCGATTTTCTTTAGTCTGGAGGTTGGCTTTTTGCCAGAACAATGTCCGACTATATTTTTCCCATGTTTTGAATTTTTTCTTTTATAAATCGAACAACATCTCCTCTTCTATCTAGATTAATGACGGAAGTTTATTCAGTTTAGGTGACATAAAGTATGCATTTATGATTAATAATAATTCTCAAATTTCGATATGATAAATAAAAAAAAAAAATATATATATATATATATGAACAGTNTATTGACTCTATATACTATATAAATTTTAATCTGTTAATTTTAAGTGCATATTTATATATATATACAAAATATTCTAATTTTTCAGCATAAATATGACGATTAGGCAATAGACGAGATAAAATAGCTTTATGATTATAATATTTGTAAATTATTTTTTTATTTATTGTTGAAAACAGTCATCGTTTCACTGACTATTAGGAAAAAATCGTTTGAATTTGTTCCGGTTGTTTTCTGTCTTTCTCTCTGACCATTGGTACAGTCAAAATCGATTTTTCGTCCTCGAATGACGTGACTCTTATGACTCTTTGGTAGTTTCGTCATATATAGACGTTCCTCCCATCTCCCTCATTTTATACCTCACACCGTTGCTTAGATACCATCGAAAGGAAACATATAGCAATTGTACGTTTTGCCCTTCTAACTCTGATCACAACAACAGGAAATGTTTGAAAACTTTCGAAAATGTTTTTTTACGTTTTTTTGATTAGAAATATATTTTAATAGTAAGTATATTTATAGTAATTACTTAAAATTTCCTTTCTCCTTGTTTAGATTGATTGTAGTAAACAATTGATTTAAATATTTTAATCCTTTTTATATATCGTAAATTTTGAAATTTGATATAAGAATATTTAAAATAGCTATTTTAAAAGATAATCTAGATAGTAAAACATTTAATATGTTATATTATAATAAATTTTAACCGCTATAGGGGATAGGGGAAAAATAAATTCTTAAATATTTTATATTAGTAATAAAATATTTTAGATCTCCGAGAAGCTTAGCGTTTTTAGATTCTATTTAAAATCATTCTATCTAATGTCAAAAACATGTTAACTTGTATTATATATTATCTTGCTTGTCTGGTTTTTTGCATAACGATTACGATTGATGAATAATTAATATCATTAGTTAAATTTTTTGAATGAATAAATTTTATGCTTTTTGATTAATTTAGACGTATAAAAGTAAATTTAAATTAGAGAATATTTTGTAGAAAAAATTAAATCGTCCAGAAATTTTCACGTAGGAACTTCTATCAAAAATAATGGTATGATTAATATATTTGATCATAGTTAAACAATTGATCATGCTTTTATATATTTATTACCTAAAGACAATTAAAGTGTATTATGTTTATGAAAAATAAATGGGATTCAACAGTTTCATAATTCTAATGCATTACTGAACTTTTTTATGAAATTAAAATATTCAAGAGTTCATATAAGATCAATGTAATGGCAGTAATTAATTGATTTTTTAAAGTATTTATTATTATTTCTAAAGAATAATTATAAATTTAAAAAGAACTGAACAGTTTTTTGTAATGTAAATAATTTGGAATAGAGTATTGTAAAAAGTTTTAATATATAATCGTAAAAAAAGAAAAAAATGCATTTATTACTATTAGACAATTTATTATTATTATTATTAAAAAGTATAATTTTATATCGTTTAATTATTTCTTTATAAAATATTAAGAAGTTTCAATAGAACAATAGAATAAAAATTAATCAAACATATTTTTATTATGGAATCATTCACATATATCATATAGTTTAAAAATAGAAAAACTTTTTTTAATAACGAGATTGATCACTGAAACTGTTAACTATTAGATATTTCAACTTAATTGTTTAAGGTGAAGAATCTTCTTTAGCTTTGTAATATCAATGAACTCAAATGTCGGGTTATTATCTCTTAGTTCTATTTATAAATTTTATTGCAATATAGATAATTTAGGATAGTTCGATTATATAATTGCTTTATAGTCCATTATATAGTGGTATTTCAGATAAGAAATTATAATCCTTAACTTTACAAACAGAATAACCACTTTTATATTTTTTAATCGGATGATGATCGTATAATCGGATTAAAGGATACAGAAAAGTGTTTATAAGTCTAGGTTTATAAATGCCAAAATGATATGTAATGTTATAAATATTATCAGATAGATATAAGATCCCGTAACCCTAAATTTATTTTATAATATGAATATAATTTTGTCTTTAAATCTACAAAAGTTTAAAATATTTTGTCTGTTATTTGTGAATTATCACTGTGAGTCATGTATTTCTTTGTGTACAAAACTGAAGTGGGTGATTGTAAAATCTGTTTACAGTTTATTTCAAGATGATAAAATAACTCTAGTATTTACATATTTTTAGCATAAAAAAACATAGAAAAACTATTTTCGGTAACAAAAATTTATTTTATCTAATATTTTTGAGAGCAAGAAATCGTTTGAAAGCGCAAATAAAATAAATTTTTTTGTTTGTGAAAGCAGATTTTTCTCTCTTTTTATGCGTAACATAAACAAGAGTAACGATTTTTAAAGTTATAAATTGTTTTAAAACTAATAAACTTTTAAACAAAACGATATTTCAAATTTTTATAAAATTGTCTAACTTTAGAATAAAATAAAGAAATAAATAATTTTCGTAACTAAATGATTTAACGTATAATATATATATATATATATATANATATATTATATGAAGTATTATTAAATTGATTGAAATTTTATAGATATTTACAGTAAGCGATGAAGTTCTTTAGATATGTGTCGAAACATTTCGAAGAAATTACTGTAAAGCATTCGCCCAATATACGGAATATGCATTCCTTAATAAAATGTATCATGATTATAACAGCTTAACGAGTTTATTTTATCTATATTTGAAGAAAAATCTAAATGTGAATGGAAAAAAAAAATTATTATTGATACTCTGCAGTAAATTTAACATTAATTTTTCAATTTTAATTCATCTGATTTTCAGAAAATTCTTAACAAGATTTAAGAGTGCCAGGTCTGATTTACAGTCGTAAAATGGATAATCATTTTGGATTTCTTTTAATAAGAACAAATATTTCTGAAAATTGGCATCAATAACTTTTGGACACCTTTTATTCAAATAATTATCTTATACAACCATTTCTTTTACAAAAAATTTTTATACTGGATTTAACGTTTGAATTTTTTAAAATTAAATCCATTATATAATGAAAGAAATAAAATATGACCTTAAGTGTTATTGCATCTTGCTACATGGTTTCTACAACGTTACTTCCCGATGCAAATTTTCAAATATCATCATAGAATTTATTTATTTATTTTTTCCAAACTAATAATCTTCAATTTCAGATTTGACTTAAAACAACCTTTAACATACTAAATTAATTAATAAAATTTATTTAAAGTAATAATTTCTGTAAAATATTTGAACTAAAATTGTGATTTTAAAGTATACGCTGCTTATATTT